TCCTGATCCCTCTATATAGATCTATCACAAGAGGGGTCCCCAGCAGGGGGAAGGAGGTCCTGATTCCTCTATATAGATCTTTATTATCACTAGAGGGATCCCCAGCAGGAGGAAGGAGGTCCTGATCCCTCTATAATAAATAAAACATAGAGGGATCGGACTCGATGGACCAATTGGTCTTTTTTTTACCATCACTCTTCTATGTTTCTATTTTCCAGGATCTGAGCAGCGCGGGGTCTCCTCATTTATCACATCGCAAATTCCAAACCCAAAGGGGGAAAATAGAACCTCCGGGTGAAACCGAGACCACAAATATGTACAGCAGACCTCAGGCTGGGGGAGGGAGAAGCAGCACAATTCCCTGTACCGCAGACCTCAGGCTGTTTGGTGAGGGAGAAGCAGCACAATTCCCTGTACAGCAGAACTCAGGCTGGGGGAGGGAGAAGCAGCACAATTCCCTGTACAGCAGAACTCAGGCTGGGGGAGGGAAAAGCAGCAGTAGGAACCAAACAGGTGTGCTGCAGTGCTAGCAAGGAACATACTGATAGGAGGAGAGAGCAGAGCGATGAGCTCATCACTCCGCTGCTTCTCCTTTCACTGTCCGGTCACAGGCTGGGGGAGGGGCAATATTTTATGGGAACTCCTGTTCATGTGTCTAAGCTTAGGCGGTGTCCTGGGGATTCTATTTAAAGGGACCCATCAGGACACCTGTAACCTTCCCTTAGGCTTCATTATGGTGTCACAACGTGCGGTGTCACCCTCTGTTGTCGCACACGCGGTGATGATTTGTCTCGGTCCTCGAGTTCCCTTCTCTACGGCCGATTGCTGTTCGGTCTCCCGTGCAGCTCCAGAAATTTGCATCACAAGCGGCAGCGTTTTTAGGAGGCGCGTGGCCCCTCCCGTCCGCTTTATCTGCTCCTTTCACGGCGCCATTCGTGTGTCCGCTGGGGGCCGCGCCGCGTATGTTAATCTGCTGATGAGCCCTCAAAGGATAAAACGAGTCAAGGTGTTATCGGTGCAAACACAGATGAGGGAATCTATGGACGGAGAACGCAGAGCCTCGGATACCCTTCCCACCCATAGAGTTTCTATTAAACATCGTTTGACGCGTTTTACACCCTTTTGTTTTTCGAAAACGCGTCACTTCAATGCCGGCAACCACTTTGGGCTTTTTTTTTTTTTTTTAGCGCGACTCCACAGCCCGGCCCGCCGTGGATTGCGCAACAACGTCCAAGGGTTCTTTTTGCCTTTGTATTTTCTGTTCCGAGGCTGCCATCGCCGACCTCCCTTTGAGGAAATAGGAGTTCCCTCTCTGTCATGCCGATCCCTCGGCTTCAGCGCTTTGAGACTCTGGACGAGTGTGCAGATTTAGACTTTGCACAGCCGCGGGGCTGCTTCCAATTTCAGCGGTTTGGAAAGGCATTGCAAAGGCAGCCAGGCAACACACAATTCTTTGAAGGGGGGGGCAGCCGTCGTATCTCTCTTTCTTTTTAAAGTGACCCTGTCATTGCGTTATACAGCCGACGTGAGACAACGCAGCGCTCTCTTTTCATTTTCACATGCGTGCCAAGTAACCAGCAGTGGAAACTCATCACATTATCTGCATTGAGGAGGCCTGTCAAGAGACCGGTTTTGTGCCCGGGTGCTGCAAGGACTTATTAAAGGAGAACTATGAGGGGGGGAGGTGCTTTTCACTCACCTCATAGTTCTAGCCGACCTGTGACAATGAGACTGTCACAGGTCGGCTCAGTAGATCGGGAGGTGAGGGAACACATACCGGCGTTCGCTCACTTCTCGATCCTGTCACGGCTCTCTGCCGTGACAGGGGAGGGGCTGGATTCCCCCCTCC